GGGGGGTACCATATATATATATACATCTATATATATATATTATGTATATATACATATAATTGTATAGATGTAGATATGTAGATATGTATATATGTATATATGTATATAGTTTGTATGTATGTATGTATGTACGTATGTATGTATGTACGTATGTATGTGTGTATGTATGTATGTATGTATGTATGTATGTATGTATGTATGTATGAATAAATGTATGTAAGTACATACATGCATACATACATACATACATACATACATACGTAATCATTATCATACAGCATACATATTTGATATACATACGTTCATCCGCGGATACATACAGACGAAAGTACATGTAGTCATACATACATACATACATACATACATACATACATACATGCACACACCTGCATAACTTACCTACCTTACCTACCTACCTACCTACCTACCTACCTACCCACCTACCTACCCACCTACCTATACCGACCGACCGACTGACCGACGCACTGATCGACCTACCTACTTACTTACTTGTTTACTTGCTTGCCAAGCATACTTCACTTCAAAGTTCCGTGTCTCTGCGAATGTTGCTGGGACATGGTGCTTTTGCACCGCGGCGTTCCGCTATCAGCTATTGTCCCATCTGCGCTACTCCAAGCGCCTCCGGTGCGAACACCTTACAAGAGAGGCCTACGGTATCCTCAAACTCGTGGAGACTACAGACCCGAGACGAGACATTGTCATCAAGAACATGAAAGCTCGTCGTTATCGATCACCATGGCCAAGTAATGACCTCTGTTTGGGGTTTCACCAGGTCGAGCGCAAACGAGTTCAAACGGTACTTGACATGTGACACTTCAACGCCCTCAACCGAATTCAGCACTTCGCGATTGGGAATGACATGGTACCGAAGCTTGCTGGTCACATGTGTGCACATGTCAAAGTAGAAGCTGCCGGCCTGCAGCATCAAGTTGTGAGACGGGGCCATCAAAGCATGCACACTGTTTTGACGGTGCCATCCATCAATGAGCTGTTGCAACATGATGCTATCTGCACTGCTCACCAAACCACTAGGAGGCAAAAGACACAACGGAGCAGAGGTCCCACCATCATACGTGTGCACAACTCCCTCTGTATCAAGCCTCGAGGCCCATGAAACCCCAATGGTATGCTGCCATCCCGGGCACTTCTGGACCAGAAACTGAACAAACCAAGATTCTCCAGAAAGGATTTCCCCACACGTGCAAAGTCTCGGCAGCCCTGAAGAAACCAAGCATTAAGGACTTCAAGTTCTCAGGGAACAAAAGTGAAGGGCCAATGAGCATCGCCGCAGTCATCCACAAACATTTGAGCAACACATTGCAGTAGCAATGATTGCTTCGGTTCCCCAGGCTCAGTCTCGGGACCTACACCACCAGCGATCGTGCGGCATGTAGGCCCCGGCACAAATCCACGCCGCCGAGCGGCTCAACAATGGCTCGTCGCACGGAACCTGTTCACCACCAGGGGGGCCTTGCACAGGCTCACAGACCCCGTGAGTATGTTGACTTCCTCTGTCACGTTCAGCGGGGTCACCTCGGAATTCACCACGTGCTTCTTGGCCTCTAGGTCCCCTTCATGCCCGCATGGGAGGCCTCAGCTTGGTCGGATCCTTGTCTGGTACTCCGCCGTGGCCATGTTTCCGGCACATCCGTCGTCTTCAGGAAGGACACGTAGGTCCTCTTCCGCTGGTCCTGGTTGCGGCCGCGCCCTGCGCATGAAGGCCCGACGGGTCGTCCCGGGTTGCGAGGGTTCTAGTCTTTTCCTCGTCCGGCCTGTTCCTTGTTTCCGGGTCGTTGGAACTTCGCTGGTCGATCTGTATCCAAAGCCTGATGTCCTCGTCCCCTGTCCTTGTTGTGGTCCAGGTCCATGGGCACCGGGTCGGACATGTCCCAGGGATTGCCCTGCCATGGCCTCTCCGAATGGTCCGCCGACAGTCGACAGTGTGGATGGGAGACTCAACGCTTTCGGCAGGGGCCCATGCCTTCATCAGCTGAAGCTCCGATGTTGCCTTGCTGTCCTCCTGGTCGGGCTTCGGTGTAGGCGCCGTTCGAAGCGGCCCGTAAACAGCGCCACACACGATCTCAGGTGCGCGTCCCGCCTCTTGAACGTCTCGCCACAGAGCGGTGCGGGCTGGTGAGCCCCAGATTGCTCTGAACAACAAAGCGTGCACAATCATTGACGAGCTCACTCAGCTCCGGATGCTTGGCCAACATGTGCCTCTTGACATATTGCGGGCGCAGGGCCCAATGAGCAAGTTTTGCCGGATCATGCTATGGGCTGCCAGGTCCAGCCATGTGCAATTGCTAGCGAAACAAGGCCGGCTTACTGATGAGTGCCTCCGATATTGCAAATGGCACGGAGAATCTCACCTTTGGAATTAACATGGTAGTAAAAGTTGGGCCAATTATTGAATCGCTTCAAGCAGTGCTTGCATCACGGCCATGCCATCCTTGGCATGCTCCATGTGAGATCGCTGTGCGGAAGCCTTGACCTCCTGCTGTATACCCTCCTTCAGGGCAGCCGCCGTGCTAAACTGGATGCCACGCTCTCTACACTCAAACGACTCATGGAGGATCTTATCCACAAAGATAAGGCGAGCTTGATTGCAGGAGGAGGAGGAGGAGCAGGAGGTCTCGGTTCCACGCCGACCGGTCGAGGCCATGCTCATATCAGCGAAGTGCCCCCTCAGGATTTGTCTCCATTGTAACTGTGCCTCCGTGGGGCGTAGCGCATCCCCAAGGATGCAATCCAATCGGATTCGATTTTGCGTGGCCTTGTCCAGGATCTCCGCCGGGTGTGTGATCCGAAGCCTTTGCATGAAGGACTCTGTGGGATCTGGCCACCGATCAGGCCTGCACCACCATGAAGGTAAGAACCTGTTTGGCTTCAGAGCTGGGCAGCCCTGTGCTGTCCAACAGGCTGGGATACAAGTTTTCCAGAGGCGCATACGGAGGCTGGCCGGCACCGCCTGGCATCTGAGGATCGACTTCAGTCTTTCGAACTGGCATTTAGCCAATTGAACGCGATGACGCACTGTGTAGGTGGCTTTGTACAGCTCGTGGGTCCACCTTTCGACCCATGACTTGGAAGCCCATCTGAGAACCGTCCTTCAGTGTAACAAGATATTTGTCAAGGGCCTTCTGGGCCTGTTGATCCCGAAGCTCCAGGATAATCACCGTCTTGGTGGGACTGACATGAGGCCTTTGGTCGCAAGGAAGACGAGCACTGCCTCCGCCGGACGGTAAGCATGTTCGAGAGCCTTGCCAGTGTCGACAACTCACTTGAACAAGAAGTCGTCGGCATATGTGGTGTTGGACCTGGTAACAAGATCTTCCATCGCTTCCAAGGCAGCAAGCTGTTTCAAGAGCCATCCTGAAAACACTGCTCATGACACAGGCGAGAGACTACACCCCTGGCGGAGTCCATTGAGGACTCCGACATCCTTTTGATGCCCAGCATGTCCTATCTCAAGTCGGGCTTGATGGTGGATGGCCATGATGGCACTGATGAGCGCCCCTGCAAGCATGCATACATACATACGTACATACATCAATACATAGATACATAAGCAACCATATGCACATACACATACAGTCATCCGTGCATGCGTGCTTACGTACATATGGACATACGTACCCACATGCATAGATACATAGATGCATAGATGATGTGTGCATACAATTTCTTCTGTGTATACTATGCACACGTGCATGTGCAATTGACATTGAAAAAGTGGTGGAAGGTCTTGCCAATGCCCTGTCAGCGGCCTTGCCGCACACGACTCAGCACATCATCACCTGGTAGCGGTCATAACTATACATCGCTACAGTTCTTTTTCAGGTGGTGTTTGGATTCTTTTCATGCGAACTTGCGCGGGGGGCGACCGCCTTATTTCGAGCATGCAGTGATGCATCTGCGAAAGTCTCGGTGCTTGCAAGGTGTCTTCTCGCAGACGATTCTGTGCTAGCCGAGCTCGTCAGCGTGACGCCCAAGCATCTCACACGACTCGGCCTAGCCACGACCTCAGACCCGAGCAATCTTTCAATCCTGTGTCTTCTCTCGCTCGAAGGACTTGAACTCGTTCAGCTGCAGAGATGCCCATGCTGTCGCGCGAGTAATTGCCAGAGTGACGGGGTTCGAATCTTAGTCTCGGAGGAGCCTTGATGGCCCTTGTTCATTGTACCTGGCACCAAGGTTAAGGGAACTTCGCCTACTGTTCCACGGCCGTTCGTTTGTCCAGAGCTTGTATTCGTTCCAGGCTGGAACGTTCTCGCTTGACGATGCTCGGGTGCTGCGAGGCTTGGCTGGGCACCGGAACGGAGGATACGGGTACAGAGGAACAGAGTGTTGACAGCACTGCCGCATCACAGCGACTGGTTGCCTCTGGAACAAGCACTGCCCTTGTGAGATTTCAGGAGCTGGCGTCTGCTTTGCCAGCAGGGCTGCAGAAGCTGCACCTGATGCTCGAGTCGTGCACCGAGACATGCTTCGCGGCACTTCGGCTGTGTGTGTCAGAAGCGTGCCGGAACAGGTCTTCTTGTCTGGGAGCCACCGCTCTTTGCAAGGCAGCATCAGGCCACTTTGGTTGTATGACGACGCTGTAAGTGTTTGAGGCTTTGCCCGCCAGCCTTCAACAGCTGGCTTTAGACTTACAAGTCACGGCGGGGCTCCAAGCGCATACACGGATCCAGGGAGGTGTGCGGCCACGGTATGAGCTCCTTGCGTGCCTTGAGGCCCATACGGCGAGTAGCACACTGGCACAGGCCTGGACACGGTTGCGAATCGGTTGCGTGATGTTGAGTCTGAGTGTACATCTTTTGTACTGTGCCGAGGCCCTGGCAGCAGCGCTTCATGGCTTAACTGTCCTTCAGCTGCGGCTCGCCGATTTCAACATGAACCTGAGTGACCTGAGGAATGTAATGGAATGTTGCACCAGCGTTGTTTTGTTATGCTGTCCACGGTGGCTCCGATGGCTTATCGGCAGGAGCATAGCCACTGCTTTGCCAAGCTCTTTGTCCGATTTGCGACCTCACCTCATGATGGCTTTTGGCGTTCACAAGCCAATCTTCGAGAGCTTTACGACTCTGTCTTTCGTTTTGTTGAGGCTTGGACCTGTGCTGTCGCGATGTCGGTGATGATGGAGCCAGCACGCTAGCGACCAACCTGCCCAAAGGCCTCATGCTTGGGGCAAACTGATGACTCGGCTTTGCCCATGTCTCCTCCCAGGGCTGGAGCGCCTTACGCTTTGTCTGCGAGACTGGCGCTTCACCGTAGCTTGCTGAGAGTGCCGTGCAGCCTGCAAGCACCCACCTTGGGTGCACCGAGGCTGTCGGGATGAGAGTGCTAGCAGCAGCAGTACCACGAAGCGTGAGGCAGATTGACGTCTCGGGCTCATCTTTAACGTCTGTATGTGTCCGTGCAGGCAGCTGAAGCTGGTCGTTTCAAGTTCAGCCATCGGTGTCAGTGGTGTTGGTGCCTTAAACCATGCAGATCCTGCATCATGATGGGAGCCGCAATTGAAGTGCCATGGAATTTTCCTCTCCAGAGCCTTCTTTCAGGATTTTCCCCTGTGGCACTCATGGCTCGTTTAAGGGGGCCACGCCAGCTCCTGCTCCTAAAAGGGGATCCGAAGTGGGCTCAAACTGTGACCAGCCAAATTCTCGCATCCTGGAAGACTGTGCATAGCAATTTCCGCATTCTTCGAGCAGATCTTCGTGATCCCCCGCAAAGGGCGTGGATGGGACAAGAGCTTGATGCGGTGGTACTGTCGGCACACCGTCGCAGATTTCTAGATGCTTTCGGAGCTGTGTCTGGAGCTCTGAAGGGGGGAGGAGTGCTGATTTTTCAGACTCCCCCTTTTCAGCACTGGCGAGCTGAGCGCATCGGGTCCAGATGGTGCAGCTTGTTGGAGCAGCTTGAGGTCGGTGAAGGCCAAGTCCGCACCTTTCACCAGAGCGAGGAGACGGAATCAGAAATCTCAACTATAGCAGGGATGTTGCCGCTTGGACAGTGTCTGCATCAGGAATCAACACAGCTCCAACCTAACGAGGAGCAGCGTGAGCTGATTGAGATCATTCTGGGGATAAAAGCCTCCAGACCCTTGCTGGTGTCGGGAAGACGTGGCCGTGGTAAATCTGCGACTCTTGGAATGGCTGCTGCGGTGCTGCTGCAAAGAACAGGTGGCCGGATTCTCGTGACATCTCCAAGCAGCGACGCATCTTCTCAGCTCTTCTGGGCCGCTAGATGCTTTCTCGGCGACTGCGAGAAAGGGCACGGGCGAGCGCTCTTCTATGGCAAGAAGGGAAGCCTCGAGTTTATTGTTCCAGAACGCCTTGCCGAACTAAGCCGAACGGAATTGAAAGAGTCCTTCCTCATAATCGATGAGGCTGCAGGATTTCCCGTCAATTTCACTGCCCACTTGCTTCAGCAAGCAGGTCGAGTCTTGCTCGCTACCACGCTGGACGGTAACTCAGATCACGACAGACTCCGATTTAGTCAGACAGCCGATGACTGTAGCCTTAGCATGAAGAGTAGTCTAAGAGGAGTACGTACGTTGTAGCGGCTAGATTTCCGTGCGGCTCTTGACGAGGCTACGAAGGCAGTGGCAACGGTTTCTTGGTTCGAGCATTGCCGCAGCTTCGCGCAGCACGTGCGGGTTTACAGACTCGTGAATTGCGAACTTCTTGGCGCTGGGCTCGCGGATGTCCACTGGAGGCATTGGCAGTGCTGGTGGCGGTTGCGGGTCCTTGACTGCTACCCAATAAGAGCGTGTTATAGCATCGCATCGCTGTGAGTGCAGCAGTGCAGGTCCTCTCCAGGGCAGCTTTGCTCCTGGATGCAGTCCCCGCAGCAGTGAGCCCTGCAGCAGCAGAAACGATCGCTCGGTCAGCTGTGTTGGAAGCTGTCGATCGGGGTGCCATTGTTAAGGATGATGATCGACTGAAAGAGATTTATGGCCTCCTACGTGTAGGCCACTATAAAACAAAACCCTCTGACCTGGAGACTTTCCTTGATGCGAAAGGTGTTGTGTGGCTTGCTCTACGATACAAGAACAACTATTACGGCATCACCATCTCTGGCACAGAGGAACCAGTGCTAGAGGAGAAAGCTCAGCAGCTCCGGCTGGCACGATGCCAAGTTGCAGCAAACCTAACTGCGCAGACTCTAACAAGGGATGCTGGCATACTGGAAGCTTCCACACTGCGTTTCGTGCGTGTCATGAGATGGTGTCTGCATCCGAACCTCCGTGGCTACGGACTGGGTGAGCGCTTACTGGTGGAAAGCCTCAATCGTCTGAAATCGCTTTCGGTGGATGCTGTCGCGGCACATTTCGGAGCAACATCGTGGCTTATCAAGCTATGGCTTCGACAGGGCGCGCGTGTGGTTCATGTGAGCCACGGCTGCGATCCAAGCAGCGGACAGCACAGCGTAAGTGTGTTGATCCCTTTGACGGAGAGGGGGAGACGACTGTGTGAAATCTTGGAGGGGAAGTTGCAAGAAGAGCTTCCAGAGCTGCTCTCAGGGCCCTTGGCCGATCTTGCTGGCGATGCCCTGAGAGAGCTCTTGAAAGCCATTGAGTGCCCGAAGGCTTCCTTTCAGGACCAACTCGACTCGTGGAGCTTCGCCTTCGGAGCCCGCAGTCTCTCCAACTGCAAGATTGCGCTGCGCCGTGTGGTCTTGCAGAGCTTGCAGGTGCTGACAGAGTCTGAGGATGAGTTCAGTTTCCAGGATAGAAAGTCAAATGTGAAGCATGGGAAGCTCTTCCTTGACCTGTTACAGGGACGGCCTATCCTGAGTGAGATGCAGCTGCGCCAAGCCCTGCGGCATTTGCCGATGATCAGAGATTTGCATCCGTGCAACCAAAATTATGGTGCTTCTGCAGGTGTTATGGCACAACATTACCCACTTTATTGTGCACTTCATTCGTAATGCAAAACGCATATCGGCTGGCGGCTGGCAGGCCAGGGCTCTTGCAGCCAACCTGCCAGTAGGCATGATTCGCCTGAATATCTCGCTCAGGCGGCAGCACGAGAGGGTTCAAGTCATGTCATGGTGAGTTTTGCGGTATTGATATGGCAGGCACTGTTGCCTCGGCCGAGATGGTGAGCAAGCCCTGAGGCCGTTGGCTCGCAGGCAGCTGAGAAAGAGCGAGAGGTGGACAGTCGCGAGCCTGGAAGACATGCATGCGAAGGGGGCTTTGTTGGTTGAAAGTATCGGTGCCCCTACTTATAGCAAGCACGCATTGTGAACGAAAGAAAGGAAAGAGCGAGATGTTTAGCCGGAGATGAATGTGGGTTGTGGGTGATAGGCACTTGGTTCATGTTGACAGCGCCGATCTCACGTGCAGCAGTGGTCACAGACTGGCTGACGAGAAGAAGGGAGAGCGAGCGAGTTTCTGGTGGTCGATGGGCTTGAGTTTAAACTTAGCGGATCTTGGCGGGCTTCCTCTAGGACCACGCTAAAAGAGCGTTGTGCCTGCCCTTCAGAGGATTTGTACAGTCAGCTTCAAAAAGCAGCACGAAAAGGCAGAGAGTCAAACAACAAGACGACGAAGAGGCAGACAGATGCTTATGTAGCCCGGCGTGGTTTCCTGCAGGTGGAACGCATTGCCGCACAGCTGGGTAAGGGTGTACGAGAAGACAGCTGCCAGCGTGGTCTTCGCCCCAAAAACGTTGTCTCCTTTCGCCCAACAGTGCTCATAGACTCGTAAGGGTTCTGTGCTCTTGCTGAGGGGCTACAGCGCTGCTGTGAATGGGACTTGTGGGATGAATGAGACGAAAAGAGCTTGCGAAGCAGCCGCAGACAGCAACGCTTTCATTTCATTCGGCTGCTACGGCTCTGCAGCCATGCACAAAGGCTTTACAGTGGATTCTGGACTACGGATGATGGGTCCCTCGAGATTACTTCTTGAGCAGGGGGATGATAATGTTCCAACTTTCTGTCATCAGCTATCAAACAGTAACAAATACGATTCAGGAATAGTGTCACGTCCAGGGCGCCGCTTTGAGTTAGCAGCTTCGAAGAACTCTCGGTGATGCTTGTGGACTGTTGGGCGCGATCACAATCAGCATGCTGGGTTCCCGGCCAAACGCGTGCCTGGCTTGCTTGCGGAGTCCACCGGTCTTAGTACAGAGTCGCAGCCAACTGCCAGGCGTGCCCTCCTTGTCCCGCGTGGCCACCGCCGGAGCCGTTGATCCAGTCCTCAGCTGAGAAGGAGCGTGCTGAAGCTCTGGCTGGGTCTGAGTGTGGCCAGGAATGGTGGGGCCGTAGGCATCAGCTCAAACCTGTGGCAAGCTGAGCTCGTTCGCGAAAGACTGAAGATATGTGTGCCAAGTGGGAGAGCACCTTACTTTTCTGACAGGACTTGAACCATGGCAAGATTCCATGTCTGCTTTTGATTTGAGGCCGTGGTCTTTCCTCGATTTGACAGCCCCGATCAGGCAGATCATGTCACCTCAGTGCTCTGCCCAGTGGCCATTGTGGGCAGGTCGCAGATATTTTTCAACTTGGTGGGCGACCTGCTCTGCTACAGTGGAGCCAACGAGGCTGGCAGAAAAGCAGGCAGAGGCGACCGTCGTGGCTCCCGTAGACCTAGTAGACTGTGATTTCAGGTGAACTTGCAGTTGAGCATTGTCCGATCAGCCTGCCATGATCCTGTGAGGAATTCGATTCTGCTCCCATCAAACGGTGCAAGCTTTGTTCCACATGAGGCAGAGAACTTCGTGATCAGGTGGATGAGGAGCGCAGCCCACAGATCCTCGAACAGAGTGTACGCATGTCAATGGCAGGAGCGTGATTGGTTCTAAGGTGCTTGACATTCAACTATGATGATACCTGTGGTCTTGGCTGGCATCTCTGTTTTCACTGGGGTGCTCGTCGCATGTGGAAGCACGGAGCCTTCCAGGTAGTGGGCCTAGCCGTGATCGTGACGAAATTCTGGCCCTCAACACCTGGCTGCTTGTTTCGGACTTCAGCGTTTGTGGGGGTGTATCCACAACATCATCTCAGTGTGAAGTGTGAGCTGCAAGGATCAAGAGACACCCGCGACTCAAATACTTCGAATGCCTTGTTCGGAGTGAACCGCCCTCAGCTCCCTGGCTGCGGAACGCAGCAGTCAGGCGACAATATATATATATATATACATACATATATATATATATCCGTGTGTGTGTGAAAGCACCTGGACATGGTGATATATTCTGATTCTGCTGCAAGGGATCAGTCCGATTTCAGTGGCAGGGGCACAGGCCTGTCTTGGATACCTGTTCCAACGAAGCTATTCCAAGACAGGGGATGGGTGGTCTGATCAACCACCTGTAC